AAAAAATAATATTTTTATGTTTTTATATATTGATTTTAAAAATAATTTTTAAAAAATAAAAAAAAATATTATTTTAATATATTTGAGTATGAAATTTTTTTTAAAATAACTATAATTATATTTTCAAAAATACATCATGGGACACTACATGTAGTTTTTTTAATGATGATATGTCAATAAAGATCTATAATTATATTTTCAAAAATACATCATCTTTTACATGGGACACTACATTTAGTTTTTTTAATGATGATATATCAATAAAGATTTTTTTTTTCTTTGCCTCTTTATCTTTATTTTTTTTATCTGTAATACACATTTATCTATCAAAAACTCCCTTTATTTTATTATTATTTTATAATTAATTTTTATTTTATAATTGTTATATTTTATTCTTTTATAAAATTATTTTTTTTCCATTTCAACCTTGAATTAACAAATATAAATTGTAATCTCACTTGTTTTTATTTTAAATTTTATCTTTATTTTTTTTATTTTTAATTTTGGATCCTTTAATAAAATTAATCATTATTTTTTTGCTTCATCCTATGGCTTCAGATTGGTTGGAAATCTGTTTATGTTTTTTGTCCTTGATAGGGTGATTTTAGTATTATAATTCAAGTTATTGATTTTAAAACTTAACCAGGGTTGATATTAATTTTTTTTACACTAATTTTTTTTGTTATTTTATCTTTTTATGTTGAGATTTTTAAAATTAGATTTTGTAATTTTTTTTATATTTAATTATCTTAATTTCATCATCTTAACCACGAGGTTAAAGAATTAGCTCAAGTTTATTCAAGTTTTTCAAAGTTTTTTTTTAAATTTAAAATATTTTTTTTATTATTGAATTATTTTATAATTTAATTTTATAATTCTTTCTTGTTTGCTTTCTATTGAATTATTTAATTCTTTTGATCCAGGTCATTGGTATTTTTTCTTGGATAATATTTATTAATTATTTTTTTTTATTTTTTTATTTTACATTAGATTTTTTTTTGAAATTGAGATATTCCAATATTATTATTCAAGTTAGTTATTATACTTGTTTAGGTTAACTTAAATTTTTTTTAAAAAAATTTCTTCTTTTGCACCGGGTGAGCTTGGATTTGAACTTTCACAGCTTTTTTTTTTTTTGGCATTCTTCTTTCTTAGATTCTCATGGAAACATTTTTTTTTTGTTTAATTATATCTATTTACTTTTCTTCTCAATTCTTTTATTATCTAATTAAATTATACATGCTTATTTGGTTGAGTCAAGGCAATCTCACGAGTTACAATTTTTTTACTTCTTTTATACACGTTTACATTATCTATAAATCTTTTTTTTTCAAAAAAAAATCTCTGCAAAGTGCAAGTACACAAAACTAGAGCCAACTAAAAAAAGCTAGAAAAATGCCTTTCTTTGTTAGAATATGTATATTTTTTAGATAGCTTTTATAATAATAATTTTAAAAATTGGTTTTAAAAAAATATACTTAGCTATGATTAGTTGGATGTAGATATGTATTTAATAAATTTTTTTATTAAAATTTATATGTAGCAAAAAACATATAAAAGAATATCTTTTAAAAATAATTATAAAACTCAATTAAAAAATATGTAAAAAATATTGCATAAAAATCACATTACAAACTCAATTTTTTAATAAATCTCATGGCATAAAACATAATCTTTTTTAGTATCAGATACGTTACTGCCCATTTATGTCATCACCACCATAAAATCTAGCGGAAAACAAACGCAGCCGTCTCTGTTAGTCTATTCTAGAATAAAATTCTTGCAAAAGAAAAGACGAGGATAAGATGATTGAAAAGTTGAGAGGGAAGTCGGGAATAAGATTCTTGCAAGCCTTAAAAAAGGTCTTCCTTGGAGCAGTTACGATGAAGAACAACATTCTCTTTCTTTCACATCACGGCAGCCATGCAAATCAAATAAGGCCCAACTCCGGTCACCAGTAATTATGATCTTAGTATCTTTAAATTTATGTTTAAGAATTGTGGTGACTTTTACCTTTAATAATGCCTAACATGGTAAATTGAGGTTCTAATTTTGTTTAATTTTGAGTTTTTTATCCGATTAAAATATGTTTCGTGATTATTAATGTGGTATTAAAGGTTTATATAATGATTATTTTTCATGTTTAAAGGAAAAAAAAGGTTTAAATTTAGATTTCTAAAGTCTACAAACACAGACCATGATTTTATGACCATCGGAGCTAATTCAGGTGATAAACAAATGGTGTCCGCATACGACGTGTCATATGTGCTAGTTTGAAAACAAATATCCGGACATGCAAGCTTATGTGTTATAGTTTTAGGTTAGGTACATTGGTCAGTTCCTCCAGCCTAATCGTTCCTATTTTTTTTTTTAATGACCCTAATATTTTTTATTTCTATATATATATATATATTTATTTATTTATTTTCTATAACGAACATTAACTTTTCATTTTAGTCTTCAATACAACTATTTTTATGATTTATCAATTTATATATTGTTTAATTCATTCTATAAAATGCAAACATCATATATTACTTCTTAATTATTTTTTTATGATGCCAAAAAACATATTCATAAAGCTGGAATTTCTTCTCTTACTTTGCAAATTAGTTTGAAATCATATCCAGAAATCTAATTCAAAATGTGCTTCCCATCTGATGGAAAAGGAGTAAAAAGAAAAGAAAAAAAATAAAACTAGATGAAAATGTTCATTTAAATTCAATCTTATATTTTTCTTTGTTGGAGATAGCAATCAAAACCTTAGTTTAAAATAATATTTTCTCTAAAAATTCATTAAAATATTTCCGATTTTTTTTAAAGTAAGGGAGTATTTTTAGACCAATTTACTTTAACCAAAGGTAAGTTATGACTTTGATTAATGGTTTTAAAGACAACTTTCATACCGACTTGAAGCATTTAAAAAAATAAGAAATATTTGTGGATGTATGACTCCAAAACAATTGTACATACAAAAAGTATATATATCTAACTTTCGCTTGATATTGGATTTTTTATATAAAATATTTTTCTAGGTTTCTTTTAACACACAAATATTTCAACGACTGTTATTATTGAAAATATTTTCAAACATGTATATTATAATATTAATAAGTTTAGATTATAAGCACAATCTTATTTTATTACATGGTGCGAGAGCCATTTATGGGTTGCCTTTTCTTCTTTAGATTGTAGTTGTAGCCAGAGGAAAAAAACACCCGAAAACGAAACGTTTGCTTTGAATAAGTGTTTGTATTTATGTATAAAATATAATTGCAGGTAGATTATGAATATAATTTACGTACAATATGAAGCTGTAAGTATATATTCAATTCCTACATGAATTAATAAATATAAAACCTTATAAAAAAACATTTCCACCCAAAACTCATCGAAATGTTTTTCTGTAAACTCAATTTTTTTTGTCACTTCAAACAAATCTAAATGGATTGTCAATGTTGGGTGAAAGTTAGATATTTGAGTTTCTTAGTATGAGAATTTTTTTTGGGATTTTATAGATACAATATTTTGATTTTTTTTAATAGAAATGTATTTTAAAAAGGGAGGGTGTGTGTGTGTGTGTGTGTGTATATATATATATATATATATGTCCCTCTTCCCTGGAGATAAAAGAAAACAAATGGGTCTCCCTTAGGATTTTGCGTCATTCAACTTGTAAACTAGGAAATCAGACACAATTCCTTTTACAATTATTGATGATTATTCATTGAATCCATGAGCCAATCTAAACTAAAAATATAGCTTAATTTTCTAAAAACAAATGCAATGTTGACTTTGTTGGAATTGTTTTTTTATAAATCAATATTGATGGACATATTTGAGACTAATTTTAAAATAGATATACTTCCTTTTAAAATTAAAACTTTATTGGAAGTTATTTTCCAACAAAAATTCTTTAACATGAAAATAAATAAATAAATCTATAAACATTTAAACTTACATGTTTTGTGAAACTTAAAATTTTTATCCAAAGTAAAATAATATTGGTTTAACCCAAAAGAGCTAGCTTTGATTTTAATGTTCGTGAACAGTTTTTTTTAAGAAAAAACATTTGGATTTAAAGTTAAAGACTAACATATTTTTATTTTTTTATAATAGTTAATTAAAGTAAAATGATGGAAATTAATTACGATAATTATCAAAATTAGTTCAACATCAATTTTAAGTCCAAAAACTAGTATACATAGGGTTCAAAGGGAGATATTCTAGTCACTTTTTTATTGTACAATTCTAGCCCTCCTCCCTTCAATTTTACCTTCATTTTTCTCCAACTAGAGCTTACATCCATGTCCTTGTACAGAGCTTTTGAGCATACATTTTTTTTGGTTTGTTGATTTTTAAATTAAAAATACATTTAAAAGATAGATTTGTTAGAATTAATCATTTATTAATATAATTCATTTGCATAAAAAAATTAATAAAAGTTTAAAAATAAATAACATATCCTTGATAAGATCAACTTGTAATGTTTTATACTTCTAAGTTTCATAACTACTGCAGCTTTTCTAATTTTAGTTTATATTTATATGATAGTTTGCATGTTAGATTTCTAATTTATATATAATATTTATTAAATGACTAGAATGCATGTTAAGTTTTTGTGTGAGAGATTACAAGTTTTACTTCTTTAGATACTTTTGCATGAAATTTATAATCTAGACAATTGTGATTCTTTTTGTTTAATCTATAACCGAAAACAAAGATTTTACCAAATTTTGTTTCTAGAATTACTGTTTAGAAAATGTATGTATTATATTTCATAAGATTTCAAGAATATTTTAATAAGTTAATGATTATATAAACTTTTATCTTATTAAAAAATAAGATGTTTTCTAATTAGAAATTATACAAATTTATCAAAGATTTGTTATTAAATTATAATCCAAAGCCTCACTTCTTTTAAAAAGTTTTGAAAAAAATAATAATCAACATTTACCCTTTTGTTTTTTAAGGTACGGTTCCAAGGCAACAGTGTCAATTAGCATAAATTCCAAGCAAAGGAGATCCCTTTCGCAACTTCATAGAGACTACATGCAGAGAGAGTTACAGCAATTTGTCAACGTACTCTCTCTCTCGGTCTCTCACCAAGACACGGCAAGCTAATGGCCGATATTGAACAAATCCTTGGAGACCTGAACAAGGACTCCTTTGTTTCCCTCTTGAAAAACATCATTGGGGAGTCCAAATATGTCCAGAACAACCCGCCAGAGCTGATCCCTGAAGAAGACAGGGTTGTCACACATGTATGGAATTCTCTTCTCCCCTACAGCACCACCACTGGAGGAGGTCCCTTGATTGTTAATCATGTCTCTTATTTCCCTAAAAGAGGAAATCTTATTGTGGAGTACCCTGGGACTGAACCAGGAAAGATCTTGTCTTTTGTTGGCATGCACATGGATGTTGTTACTGCTCATCCCAGTGATTGGGTTTGTTTCTTCCTTTCTTTTGTCTTTTCTTGTTTATTGAAGTGGGGTTTGTTTGATTTTGATTTGGTTATGAGAGTTTTACTATTACCTCAAGAAGTTGTTGCTGAATTTTATTTGGGTTCTTATGTTTATGCGGTGTGGCTAAGGTTTCAATTGCATTCAAACTTACATTTTTCAGTTTAAAGTTTATACCTTTTGAGTTATTAATTACAAAATTCGAACCGGGTTTATTTTGGTTTGAGTTTATGGTTCGGAAAGTTAGTGGTTGAAATGTCCATTTGGTTTTATTTTGGTTTGAAATAGTAATTATTGGCAACAAAGGTGATTCGAGTTATTGCAGGTTGAAAATTTATGGCTTCTTGTGCTGATTGATATAATGGTGTTGAAATATTGTAATTTTATCTCAGGAGAAGATTTCGGTATTTTTGCTCAGTCATTCTTTAACAATGAATGCAAAATGATGGTGATTGTTATACATAGGAGTTTGATCCATTTTCGTTGAGCATTGATGGGGAAAAACTTCGTGGCCGTGGAACCACGGATTGTTTGGGACATGTTGCTCTTGTGACTGAACTGATGAAGAAGTTGGGGGAGACGAAGCTGAAATTGAAGTCAACAGTAGTTGCAGTCTTTATAGCCAATGAGGAGAATTCTTCCATAACAGGGGTCGGTGTGGATGCACTTGTGAAAGATGGTCTGCTCAATAAGCTGAAGGGAGGCCCTCTGTAAGGAACCTACAATTTTGCAGGAAAAGAAAGGGACATGTTATTATATAAATCATCTTTGTGGTCTTGTAGATGTCTGTCTGAGGCTTCAGTGAAAATTTAGTTTCATATTCTTCGTTTTTTTCCAAGGTATAAATTTGATCTAATTGATGTGATTTCGTGTTTGTAGATTCTGGATTGACACAGCAGATAAACAACCTTGCATTGGTACTGGCGGTATGATTCCTTGGAAACTTCACTTCACCGGGAAACTTTTTCATAGTGGTTTACCACATAAGGTATACTATCACAATCTCTATTGTCTTCTTAATTGAACTTTTTTCATGCATTTATTTACACTGGGGAAACTATTGCCACCTTTCTGATATAAATATATGAACCCTAAAAATTTTATGACGATGGTTTGCTGGTTCTGCTTTTCAAAGAGGAATATTATAATGTGATTCGTAAACCAATGTGTGTAGTTTGGATAGAAATCAAAAACTAATGAACAATACTAATGCATAAAGTGTTGGCTTGTTCTAGTGGAATAATAATAACAGAATTCACTGACTTTTGACCGACTTGCACAATGAAGACAATAAAATGCATCATGCAGAAATTTATATTGTATAAATGGATTGTGTGATTAGAAACTAGAAATAGTAAGTGGAGTGAAGACGATAATATGCAACATGCAGAAATTTATATTGTAAAAGTGGTTTGCTGACTATTTCTATTAGAATAATAAGAACAGAATTTGCTGACTTTTGATTGGCTTGCACAATGAAGATAATAAAATGCAACATGCAGAAATTTGTATTGTAAAAGTGGTTTGTGTGATTGGAAACTAGGAAGTGATGGAGTGGAGATGATAAATGCAACATGCAGAAATTTGTATTGTAAAAGTGGTTTGTGTGATTACAAACTTTGAAAGAGCAAGTGGGTGGAGTAATTGTGTTTTCATTTCCCTTTTTTGTATGTTCAAATAATGATAATTTAAGAAAAAATGAATTGACATAAAACTTGGTTCGATCCACCATACCTATCCTGGTTCAGTGGGGTCAACTTGTATGTTTGTAGTTTGCGCATTCTATTCTCTTTAGGGACGAAATCATCTATGAGTTGCTGTGATTTTAAATCACTTTTACCACTTCATCCCACATGATTTTAAATCATCTATTTTGATTTAAATCACTTTGTATCTGTGTGGCTATATGCTTATCTTGGAAAAACCAAGATGTTATAATGACCACAGTTTGGATTATTGTAACTGAAACAATTACATATTTGAAAGGAACTCACATGACATGAGTTGTTACCATTTCTGAAGCAAGTACTATTTTTCCTTTTCCTTTTATAGCACGACCAATTTTAGAGTATGTTGCGTGCACATGCATGTCTATGCAAGCTGGTATTAATTTGTATAATACTGACATGCATGTGGAAAAATACCTGTTCCCCTCCTTCAGCTTAGCTGTACATACTGCATGCATTGGTATAGAAGTAGAAAGGAAGGTATCCGGGTTAAAGCATTTTGGATGATGAAGAGCGGATTTGAAAACAATTTCTGGAAATACATGTAACCTCCTGACTGCTAATTCATTAATTTTAGAACCAGAAAAATAAGAATTTATTACTAAACCAGTTTCAATTTACAATTGACCCATTACATCCTAGTTGCCTAGTTTTGAGAGTTTGCTAAAAAGACACGATTTTGTGGCCCTTTGAAGAGTATCTTTAAAGCAGTAGATTGTTGAGACATACCTAGATTTGTTGTATATAGATGATGATTTGCTCACAAAATTAAGTCAAATAAGAGACTTTCTAGTTTCATATGTGATATAAAATTGTGCGCTCCTTGTGACATTATAACTTTCTGAAACAATTGTTATGTAGAATATAAGATGGAGTGACATCTCCAATTTCTGCTTATTTTCTAATTTCAAGGAATGTATTATTTGCAGGCTATAAATCCTTTGGAGCTGGGGATGGAGGCACTTAAAGAGTTACAGTCTCGATTTTACAAGGACTTCCCACCCCATAAGGAAGAGCAAATATATGGATTTGCAACACCATCAACAATGAAGCCAACTCAATGGAGTTGTAAGTTTTGTATCAGTATGCAATGATTTATTGTGGAAAGAAAATGCTTTCATTTCTGAAATCCATCTTTATTGTCGCAGATCCAGGAGGTGGGATCAATCAAATCCCTGCTGAGTGTACAATTTCAGGAGATGTCAGGTTCATAACTTTGTACAGAGATTTTTATACAAGCAACTGATATGAAAATGAAGTCTCACCATCTGTTACTCTTCTTCTGTTTCAGGTTAACACCCTTCTATAGGTAAGTTGCATGCCTTGTGTTAATCCCAGAGTCTTAGCACTTGTAGAGCATGTCCTTGTAATTCTGATCTGGGTCTACTTTGTTCTGGATAGCTCCAACATTTCTTTTTCCCAATAATATATCAGGTTTCTGATTTCCAATATTTTGATTATTTACAGTGTCAACGATGTGATGAACAAACTACAAGAATATGTGGATGAAATAAATGAGAACATTGAGAAGCTTGACACAAGGGGCCCGGTTTCAAAATATGTCCTCCCAGAAGAAAACCTGAGGGGGAGGTGTGTCTTCTTTCTTGTTCTGTCACCTTGGATCTCCCCTGTTTCTGGGATGTAATTATTTTTGTTCTTAAGAATTATTTTTTTGTGTGCTATTCTCATTCATCATTTCAACCTCTCCCGGGAAGTTGTTATATATGTTTTTTTTTCCCAACAGCCTTACCGTCACCTTCAATGAAGTGTCATCTGGAGTTGCCTGTGATCTTAAATCCCGTGGCTTTGAAGTGTTGTGTAAAGCAACTGAAAAAGTAGTTGGGCATGTAAAGCCTTACTCAATCACAGGGACTTTGCCACTAATTCGAGAGCTGAAAGTAAAACATATCTCCTTTTTTCCATTTTTCATGGTAACTTGCCTTTAAGTTTTCATCCTTTAGTTAATGTTTTTGGATTTTGTAGGATGAAGGTTTTGATGTTCAAACTGCAGGCTACGGTATGATGCAATTGCTTCTTTTCATCCTTTATTCTTAATCTCACTGTATAAACTCAAGCCTTATAGATGCTAGGGTGTAATTAAGATTGCTGTTATCTGTCAAAGGAATTTGTGGGACTAATTTACCTATATATACTTATTTCAGAAAACATTAGAAACTTTGAATTAATCCACACTTTCCAGTCCATAGTTTCACTTCACATCCTTTCTTTGTTTTGTCCTTCTTGCCTTCAGTCTCTTTAGAGCTCATTGGAAGAGCTTGAAAATTCACCATGAAAATGGTTAAGCATGTGGTGAATTCAGAAAGAACAAAAGCAATGCAGTAGGATGGATGTACATTAACAAATTTTTGTGACTGGTGTAATCGTTAGGCAAATATGCGGGTGTAAATTTGGTTATCCATTAGGCAAATACAAATTATTCTCCATTATTAGTCTTGTAGTTGAAAGTCTAAAAGGTGCATTTTGGTAACATCTCAACTTTGACAGCTTTGATTTGATTTTTTTAATTTTGTTTTTCATGTATGAAGCTGAAAGTAGCTTATTCTGAGAGTTTACTTGGTGCTTCCCTGAAGTTGTACTCTATGTTACAGGAGGAACAAGATGCTAAATACAATAACAACTCACTATGTAGGATAGGGATTGAGCAACAAAGGAAACTTAGACCTGCATTCATTTTTTATGTCTAACTCGCACTCTTTTGGCTAATGATTTCACCTTCACATGAGCATTTAATGAAATCTAGAGAAAGCTAGTCACCATTCCTTGACAAAGGTCAAGTATCCAACATGAGATGAAAACATCCCCTGGGAGATGGTGTTTCTAGAATCCATTGTGTAATATAAGAAAGCTACTTACCGGGTTTCTATCCGAGTCTTTGAGTGGATGCTCAAAAATTTATCTCTGAGCTTTTTTCCAGAAATATGGTGTTGAAAGAGCTATCTTGCACATGGACCTTAAAAACCCAACAACCTATGGTATAATTCCATAAATATTACCTACGGAGACTTACTATTTTCTGAAACCTCTATTTAATTGTGGAGTTAAGGTTTTAAGTTCTTTCCTTTTTCAAAGATTATTCTACTATTTATCAATTTGTCCTCAGCATCATGGTTAAGTGAATAGAAACTCGTTGAGTGGATGATCATTCATTCTACACCGAAACTGTATTAAGGACCCCTTCAATTCTTTTTCACGACCCAGCAGCTTAGTTGTTTCAATTGCTATTGTCCAAGAGAATATTTTAACTTTTGGTGGTTCTTAGTTGTTACCAAACAAGAGAAACAAGGAACAGGAATTGGGGTTGACCAGGGGGGAAAGAACCTGAATAGGTCGATGGGATTAATGAAAGACACAAGCAGAAGTTCACATGAAGGTGCTTCTAAATTAACACTCCCCTCATTTGTGTTTTTAGTTTGCCAATTCATTTATTTCCAGAAACTTACAAGGAGATATGTGCATAGTCTTATCAAGTTGCTGGGATGTTGATGTGATTTAATTTCTGGGGACCAATAGCTTGACCTGTTGTAATTGGAAATTCATGTTTGCATTAATATTCCTCCATGACATTCTCTCACTTACAGTTTCTCTAAGACAAGATCAGCCTTCAGTATTTGGTTTGTGATATCTTGTGTTCAATTGTATTTTCCTTCTCATGCTCTATTTTTACAGCTTCAGTCTCTTGCATCCCTGTGCAGGTTTAATGGCCACATATCATGCCAAGAATGAGTACTGCCTGCTTTCTGATATGTGCGAAGGCTACCGGATTTTTTCCAGCATCATAAGTCAATTAGAAGCTTGATTTGAAACGAAGTGGATGTCATAACAATGCCACCAGATTCTAGATAAGAAGCGTGTTATGTTAAAGAAATAAATGATTATCATGTAAACTCTGTTAATTTCTAGTTTTGAAGGGCTTCCAATATGCTTCTTTTTTCTCTTCTTTTTGTTTTTTTTTTTTTTAGTTGCCCCAGCTTCCTGGAAATTGGAACGTGATGTTTCCAATTTATATCTGGATCTTGTTCCATTTATAGTTTGTCCTTGGCTCAGTAGATCTGGCACTTGGACATTAAGCGATGGTTCTTATATCCAGCTTTCCTCGCATTGAGGTCCCCTGGCGGTACTAGCTGCGTGGATGTGTTCGCTCATTAATTTGGGTGCATCTCGAGATGGTTAATCCTAAATGGGCCCTAGCTCCTTCTTTCTTCAGGCTTTGGACGAGGAAGCTCATTGATTCTATCGTCATGTAATTTTCTAGGATTTTATATGCATATAAGCTAAACTCACGACTAAATACTAAAATGAATAACATTGGCATCCTTGAATTGACCAATGTACATATCGATAAATTATGTCATGATATTTGACACGTAATTTTGAAGCTTTTTAAATTTATTGATTTTTTTAACGAGGCACCTTTTTGTATATAAAATGTCAAGCTCAAGAATTTTTATGATTCGCTAGCTTGTCAAATAAGGCTGAAAACTAGCAGTAGCGTGGAGTTCATAAGTTATTTATCTTTAGTTGCGTCATAGGTTTATCATAAATTACAAATTCTTTGCCCCCTACGTTGTATTATCTATAAATTATAAAAAAACACTCCAAGCAAGCTCGGATACTTATCCAGCGTGTTAGTGAATTTTAAAAACTTTTCAATCTCGAAACAAAAAATCAGTAATTCCGCCCTTGAATTATTTATTACTACTTTATATTAATATATTCTTCCAACATGGTTGTTGAATTTTGTTAAAATGTGCGTACTTTTTTAAGATTTGTTGTTCAATTTAGGCTATCCATTAGGCTAGATTATGGTAGAGATTAAGTATAATCAATCCTACATGCAACTCAATTTGTTGTTCAATTTAGGCTATCCATTAGGCTAGATCATGGTAGAGATTAAGTACAATCAATCCTACATGCAACTAGATTTTTTTCTATTAGGCTAGATCATGGTAGAGATTAAGTGCAATCAATCCTACATGCAACTAGATTTTTTTGTTCAATTTAGACTATCCATTAGGCTAGATTATGGTAGAGATCATGTACAATCAATCCTACATGCAACTAGATTTTTTGTTCAATTTAGGCTATCCATTAGGCTAGATTAAAGTTGTTTAAAATATGATTTGGACGAGTTCTCAGCTAATTTAAGTCTTAAATGCAATGATGTGGTCTAATTGTAGAGAACTGAACTAGAAATGGTGGCAAATTAAATTATGAGATAGATTGCTTTTATAAAAGTCATTTGTAATAGCCCAGTCTAATCTGTTAAATATTGTCTGTTTTGAGCTTTACTATCTTAATGAATTTGTTATTAACAGCTATGTATAACCCCAAAATACATCTTTCAAAGTAGCGTAATACATTAATCTTGTCAGATACTATACCCTTTAGGCCTCTCATTCCCAGGATTTCCACTCAAGTCCTCCTTAGGGTTTTAAAAGCATTTCACAAGTAATAAGACTAGTAACCAACTCCTCATTTATCAATGTGGGATATTACAATTCTTTCCTTTTAAGGAGCTCGATGATCCTTTCAACACCATCAGACAGCTAGTGAGGTTGGCTTTAATACCAAATATCATAGTTCGGCTCAACCTTGTAGGTATTATTCGCCCTCACGGATTTGTTCTTTGTAGCCACGTATAGTCTCAAAACACGTCTTTTAGAGTAACACAATACATTAACCCTGTCAGATATTGTTCCACATAGGCCTCCCAGTCCATCTATTCCTAGGGCTTCCATTCAGGTCCCCCTTAAGGTTTTAAACGCGTCTTAAATTAGCAACCAGTACTACTAATGAGACTAGCAACCAACTCCTTACCCGTCGATATGGAATATTACATCATCTTAGTAGGCAATAACATAGAAAAAGAAAAGTTGCACATGTTAACTTAATACATTTGTTGAATTACTATTTTAGGGAATTTGTTAGAGAAATTTAACCTTGTCAAAGAGAATTGGGCATGCTTGATGCCTTGAAAAAATGTAGAATTAGGTATTCTAGACAACCTGGCATATAGACTGTGGAAAGGTCATAATTTTTCATGTACGAGGCTATTAAATAAATATATAAATTATTAATTTATATAAATAATTTTTTAAAGTTAACAGTAAAATTTTAATTCAAATACACTATTAAAATATTAAAAAATCAATTTGAAAGTATATAAAATCAATGTGAAAGTAAAAATAAACCTACTATTAAAGTTATATCTTTTAATGTTTTGTGGAATATAATTTATCTATAATCGAATTTGAATCGATATTATAATAACCCTTCAACCGAACTAAAATAATAATTTTATATCAACTGAAAAACAAAATAATTAAATTTTTTTCCTCTCTCAATTCCTCCTTTCTTCACTTGATTCTTCCTTAGGTTAGTGTTTTATGAGTTGGACTTTATAAGTTTACAAGGTTATTCTCTCACTTTTCTTATTTTTTTTCTTTGATTTTTTTATGTTTTTTCCTTACTTTTCTCTCTCGCCTTTTCTTTTCTTTCTTTTTCTATTTTGCTTTTGCCCAGTCGACAACATATAAAAGGAAGAAAGAATTTATTTGTTTTATTTTTTAATAGCAAATAATCATTTTACCTTTAATAAGTTGTTTTGTTTTTATTTAGTGTTTTTTTTTGTTGGCACTAAAATACTTTGTTTATCCTAAAATTTTAACAAGATTTTATTCAATATATTTTAAGATTCCTCAATATATTTTCCAAAAATTCTGAAATTTTAAATCAAGTTAAAGTATTATATTAGAAGACTCCACATAAATTTTTAGAATTTTTTGATAACTCAATAAAAAATTACAATTTTTTTATATAAAATTAATAAAATATTAACTTGTGCTATAGCACACCCAATTCTTTGTATTGCCTCCGCCCTTGCTTAATCGTATTATAATACTCGAATGATATTTGTCGCTTTCTAGACTAGAGTTACGATCAGACTAACAGGTGAGGAAGTGATTCTACCATATTGTAAAGAAAGTTGTAGCCTAGATGAAGTGCAAGGATGCACAATAACATAGGCAAGATGAACCACTTTAATCAAGTGAGAGTTTATCAGGTGATGCTTATTCATATCAAATGGGAGTTTACCATTTGGATATGATCGAGGGGAGAAGAGAATTTGGCTCCTTTTATCTAAGTAGGAGATTGATAAAAGCATAGCTAGAATGTGCTAAAATCATCGTTGAAGTTGAGTTGAAAATCATTGATGTATGCCCATCATTATTGACAAAAATCTTGGTTGATATTGGTTGCTCTGGGTGCGAAATTGTTGATTGAAAATGCCCAACGAAAAAGACCTGTTCATCGGCAATTCCTTTGGTGTTTTCACCTGCAGAAACCCTACTTAGACATCATCCTTCTCAGTTAGCTTTTGTTTTCATTCTTCTGTACCAGTTATGACTTCATTTCATCAAGATCTAGCAGGTCCATCTTTCACTTTTAGCCTTTCTTCTTCTTTGCATCTGGGGTTTAATTTCTATTAATTGTATTGGTTTTGATTCATTTTCATTTGTTATGGCTCCATCTAACTTTTAGATTTACCTATCTTCATTTAATGTTCTATGCTCTTGATATCTCTTCATTATTTTCTTCTTTGCTCTATTTCAGCCCCACGCACCAAAAAATAAAAAAACTCTATTTTTCCTTCGTTTCCGTTTCCATATGTTCACTCACCATTGCTGCCTTTTAAATGCCTATAACTTATTTATTCCATTTGATATTCATGCAGTTATCAATGATTGTATTGTTTTTTACTTCTTCGTTAACATTAAAATTGTGTTTTGAAGGAATTAACAAGAACTCATCACACTTCGATTTAATTATTGAATTAATTGACTGAAGTGTTCGAAGGATATGGAAAAGAGTTGCATGTTTTCCTTTTCATTTCAATTATTGTTGTTGTTTTTATTCAGTTTTTGTTAGCTACAGTCTGCTAACTCTTCTTGTCTTTAATCCTTTTTGCTTATGATTTTCTTCAACCTTGCATAGGTTAATATCTATCTTGGTTTTATTTCTGCCTTCATCAAGTTGCTACTCAAATTGGGATGAACCTCTTTCCTTGTTACTTTTTGTTGTTTTCTAAATACAGTCTTGAGTTTACCCTAAATAAAAACTACGTACGCATCATATAAAAAGGAATTTTCAGTAAAGAAATCATAACATGATAAAAAAATAAATAAACATTTTTGCTAAAGTTTTCTTGTGTAATTTAAATCATTGTGATTCTTTAAAATATTTATTTTTATTATCACAAAGTTAAATAAAAATAGGTTGTTCAAATTATCTCGCAGTATATAGCACGCATGTAAACTGTTAATTCCATCTAAAAACAACACAAAAAATTATAAGCATGCCAATGTAACGGGTTAAAGATGGTATACATCATTCACCTCCTGCCCATTTTCAATGGAGGTTCCAAATTTACAAAGTAAATAAATATTTTATATATTTAGTATTGATACATGGTTAACTAAATATATATAATTGAGAAATGGATTATAATAAACTTAGTTTCAAAAACCAGTTGTTTCAAAATATATAAAAAGATATATGAAAGCAAGTATTTATATATAGTTGGTTTCCTCATAAGATATATAGGATAGCTGTTTTTAACCCTTATATATATCCATGGCTTTATAACGAGAAAAACGCCCCTCAAATCTCATTAATGGATCAAGTGTTGTGGAACACGCATCGGGTTTGGGAATTTTGTTATCACTACAGAAATGGTAATATATATAATTTCACAAATATAGTATTATCAAATAAAAAATGGTAATATATCAAGTGCTGCTAATATATTTATATAAAAAAACCACTTCATGATTCAAGTTGTAAATCCAATTAGATTTAATAATATAGTTTTATATAATAATAATAATAATAAAAGCAATAATAAATGGACTAGACTTTAAAAAAAATGATAACAATGACCTACAAAAAAAAATGCTTGTCAAAATAAAATAAAAAGATTATAAAATTTAATTTAAAAACAATCTAATATTAAAAAATAAAATTAAAAAAACAAAAAAAAAAACCTAAATTATTTTATGTTATCTCATTAAATTTATAACTGAGGTCAAAAAACTAATCAAAAGAAATAACAATGCCCAAATCCCAATAATAAAAATGATAATATATATAATTTCACAAATCTAGTATTATTAAACTCTTTTTTCTCTTGTGATCTTGGTATAAGAAGATTGACGACCAGAAAAACAACGGCATTTTTGCTTCCCGGTCAAATTCAAGTTTTAGATATAATTATATAACTTCATTCAAGTCATGGCCAAGACCAAAAAAGAATTTAAAAAGGATCATTACGATATTATTTTAATAAAATAAATAAATGTTCTTCTCTTCCTTTGTTATAATTCATCACTATAAAATCACTGATTTTTTATTATATATAGTCTCTAAATCCTATAAAAATTATTATTTTAAGACTTTTACTATCAATTATATGTTCTACCCGTTACTAAAAATAAAATATTTATATGATTATATAATCATTCTATTTTCAAATACTCAAACACTACTCCTAGGAGATATTGCATCTTGTGAGATCATTAATAGCCATTGTTGAGCATGAGAGCATTGGCTATAGGGCTCAGCATCCTTCACAACGAGCATCTGACCAACAAATTTAATTTCAATTTCTGTTTGGTGGTCCTCTTTTCTACATCTTTCCTTTTAACTCTTCAATACACAAACAAACTCGTTCTATAATCTTAGAGATTTTCACTTTAAATATATTAAATTTTAAATTCATAATTAAAATTTTCCTTTCTATTAAAACCATGTTGACAATAATTACATATTTTTTAATCAGATGTAAAAGAATTTCTCCGAACCCATGACATAGTGACTGAATTAGCTAATACATTTACAAATTAGATGGTTTAGTATTGTAATAATGGTTGTTTTTTAAAATAGTTTTTGTTTTAAAATGTATTGAAATATTTTTTTTAATTTTTAAAATTTATTTTTAATATCAGCATTTATAAATACCAAAAAATTTATTTTAAAGCAATGAAAAAAATAAAAAATATTATTTAAACACAAAAATAAGTGTCACGTTAGTTAATAATTAAAGCGTGCCTCACTTACAACCAAATAGCAAGATAGTTAATCAATATATATACCTTTAATTTAGTGGTTGTGGACTCATGGTAATTAATTTAGTGGTTTTGGACTGATGGTAATTATCAAGAAGTCATGGTTTTAATTAATCTTAACATTCGTTTAAAATAGAACTTATTTGCATTACATGTAAATGACAGCTAAAATATTATGCCATCTTTGCTACGATGGTTAAGTTATTTTTCTATCGCAGTGGGTCTTAAACTCAGCCATCGCTCCCTTGCAACAGTAACGACTAACCATGATGGTTTGTAAAAGACAAAATCTACAAGGTACATGGAGAAGAGTAGAATTCTTATACTACTAGATCCTATAATATTTTTCTAGATATATGTCTTGGGCTACTCCACCAGCCAAGTCAATTTATTTTTAACGTTAAAATAAAATATTCAAGCGCTGTGCTGTTAGTTTATATATATATATATATATACACAACTTGAGTAAACAATTTATATATATTGTAAATAATAAAATTTTAAAAATTATTTCAAAAAAATTTCTTATAAAAGATATTATCTTTTTATTTGAATCTGAAGTGTTTAAATAAATAAATCTTATTTTATGTTGTAAAAACACAGCTTTCTTCAATTAAAAAACACTATTTTAATTGAAATATTTAAAACAAAAAAGGTGATATATTTCTAATTAATTATGTGTGTATTTAATATTGTGATATGATGTATTTTTTAATTAAAAATATATTAATTTTTTATATCAGTATATCAAAAATATTTAAAAGCAATTTTAAAAGAGCTTTGAAAAGTGGGTTGAAACTAGGGCTCCATTTGTTTTTACTGTTAGAAAGTGCTTGTGTAAAAATTTGAATTTGTTTTCTTTGAATTAATTTTTTTAATGTTTTTAAATTTTTTTAATATATTAACAATAAAAATAAATTAAAAAAATATTATATCAATAAATTTACAAATAAAAAATAAAATTTAAAAAACAAGCGTTGTCACAATAACAAATAGAATCTAAATAATAATAATTAATAAGTGCTTAGTATTGGAATAGCGATTGTTTTTTAACATGTTTTTTATTAAAAATGATATATTTTTTTATTTTTTAAAATTAATTTTTGATATCAAAATATTAAAATTAAAAAAAAAACTGAAATTTTAACCATCCTCCTCTACATGGACCGCAATCCCAATAATTCATGCAATCACCACGTAATGACCTAATTTCAAGGGGAAGGCACCTTCGTTCCCTGCAGCGTCGATCAATGAATGTGAAACCTGCTTCTTCCTTCTTTGCTTTAACCATCTTTTCTTTCTTTCTTTCTTTCTTTTTTTTTGCATTTTACATGCCTGTCGCTGTCCCGTCCACCTCTCATTTTTGAAATCTAAGCTATTTGACGGGTCACGGAGCGAGTGCGTCCCTGACCCGGTCCAGCTGTGACCTCCCTACCCGCTCGTTTTGCATCTCTACCAATCAGTTGCATGTCCTTCGTTGTCACGCGGATACGAGGCAACGTTGCGTGACTTTTAGTGTGGCACCGTGTTTTACATTTCCATCAAAATAAATACTGTTTAGCCAAAAAACATTATTCTTTTTTAATTTAAAATTAACTTTTTATATTTTTTAATCATTTTCACATGATAATATCAAAAATAATAATAAAATATTATTATAATATATTAAAAAAATAATCACTGCTATAATATCAAATAAAACTCTGATAGTTATATCTTATTCAATTTTTTGAAAAAAAACTCAAAATTATGCAGCGTATGTATTCCATTTTTAATTTTTGAATTAATGATAGTCCTATTATATGAAAATATAAAGATAAATAATGATTTTTTTCCCCTTTTGATCTCTGTTAATGGGCTAAGTCCTCATAGTTATTCTTTGTTGTTAAGAAATTTCTCCAAATTTATATTGCATTCCGACTCTGTATGTGTGGTTTTGCATTTATTCATGTATATGATTGAACTTGGATAAAAAAGAAAGTAGATTTATAAATCTCAAATGATTGTTTTAGATATTTTAGAACCTGTTTAGTAGTGTGATAGTATTTATTTTTTAAAATATTTTTATTTAAAAACATATTAAAAAATAGTTTTATTTTTTAATTTTATTTTTAATATTTGGATATCAAAACAATCTAAAAATATTTAAAAAATTAATTTTAAATAAATTTTAAAAAACTATTTTTTTAAATATACTTTTAAAACACACAAGCAAACGACTTTTTAATATTCTCAATCCTTGATTTTAGAAAAAACCACCGGTATAACTTCTTGTTTAGAAAAGTAAGTTTTTAAAAACACAATCCCGAATCAAAACATAAAAAATAAAAATAATAAATGAATTGACTTATTACTTCTAGATTCTTGTCCTTTTGTTACTATAAGATAACAATACCAAACAATGATGTTTGATTTATTGAAGGTGAAAATCCTAAGTTCCCCTGTGTTATCATTAATGATGCAATTCCCTCCTAGTGTAAAAACTTTGGTCAATTTTTACTTTAAATTGTCAAATTTTATTTAATTTTCTCTGTTTTTTTTAAATAACTTTTATCGGCAATTACTGCCAAATATAATGTCATAAACTCTTATAATTCATATCTAAAAAATCCTAAACTAATGATTAATGATTATGTTGTAGTTTAGTTGTTAAAGTGTTCAATTTGGGTGCTTGAAATTGTGGTTATGGTTGCATTATATTTAAAAAAAATTGAATATTTTTTATTTTTAATTAATATTTTTATATTTCTTTGATGTGTTAATATTAAAAATAAATTTTAAAAAATAAAAAAATTATTTTAATGCATTAATTATAGCTTAAATTGAAATTTAGGTTTTTTTTATTGTTATTTTTTATAAAAAAAAAACGATTTAGAGTTTTGGAAATACAAATTACAGCTTAAACAATAATATTATGTTTATTTTTACAAGTGAGACGCTATGAGAGTACCATCCACATGTGGAATCTATTTTTTAAAAGTTCACACCATCAAAATTGATAGTAATGAATTGAAAAAAAAAGAGCTAAAATTTGAAGAGAATTGTAGAATTTAGATTGGAAAAATGAGGACCAAATTTTTAACACAAGGAAGGAATTAAAATATTGAAGATAACACAAGGTAATTATGATTTTTGCCATTTATTTATTGAATGAATACCACAGAAAACAATATCAAGAGTATAGAAAATAAATTAAAAAAATATAGGAAGATTTTATTATTTGTAGTGATTAATATATATAAGGTTGTGTTTGTTTAGTTAGAGCTTTTACATTTGTGATGTAAAAAATATAATAAAGTGTTTGATAAAAGGCTAAATTATAGTTGTTATTATGAAATCAACAAAAAAATCAAGATTAAATTAAGAAGTAGTTTTTAGATGTTTTTATAATTGAATTTTGTAAAACTCTGTTTATTTTTACATTTTAAAACTAGTTTTGAAATAATTTAATTTTTTTCACTTTAAATTAATATTTTTATATATTTTTAAATTATTTTAATATATATTTTTAATTTTTTTTTCAAATTATAACTATAAAAATTACCTTAAAAACAAACCAACTCATTTATTGTTCTTAACGTGTATTGTTTAATTGAGGCTTCAATTCAGCTAAGAAAAGCAACCTCCATAATAGGAATTTCATTTCTTTCATGTTTATCCACCCATGGTGGTTAAGAATTCGAAAACCGTTGGCACGTTTGACACGTGCAAGCATCCCAAGCAACAGCCCAACTTCTCTTCCATAATAACCGTCCACGTCTCTCAAATAATCACCATCCAAAAACTCTACTAGTCACAATCTATAATCAGGCGGCTCAAAACCCGAAACATGCATTTACGCCATCGTATGAGCTTGCAACACACCGACATTTCTCTCTATAATAAAATAAAAAAAATAGAGATAATTGCCACCTCATGCAGAAGAAAATCTCTCTAGTCCCCTTCTGTGAAAAGCAACCTAATAAATTAAAAAAACAAAATCTATAGAGAGAGAAAGAGAGTAAGATATATAAGGAAAGAAGATAGCCGAGTAAGTTTGGTGTCATGTTTTGGATTATTTCGTCGTGTCTCGCTGGTTTTCTTCTTGTGTTTTAAGGTAAGTTGTATAAAGGGTTAGATTTGTTGTTGTTGTTGTTGTTGTTGTTGTTGTTTGTGTGTTTGGTTCTTGAGAGATGAGGAAAGTCAGGTTTAAGAGTATGAAGGAGGTTTATGAGAATAGTAGTGAGGTTATTGAGTACAAGGTAGAATTGTTGTTCACGGGTTTCTTTTCTTATTTTAAAGCCCCCCCTTTTCTCTCTCTCTTTGGTTGGGGTGCTAATGGTTCATTTTTTTGAGAAAAGGTTTGAGCTTGTGGGTTGATTCAATTTCGAAAGATCATAATTCATTTCATTTCATTTTTTTTTTCAGTTTGCTAATAAAACTGGTTTTCTCTTATATTGGTTTCTTTGTTTGTAAGGGATTAGAGGTGGTGTTGTTGACTATGTTCTTTTGACCTGTTTTTGGTCTTTTCTTTTGTGTGAAGGAAGCTGAGATTGTCCGTTTTGTTTGCTTAATGTACTGGGTTTCGTTTCTTTATGATAAAGCTCAAATCTTTTTTATTATATAAAATTACAACTGCTGATTAATTCATTTAGCCTGTGCACTGGTAGAAGAAGACATGATATATCATACATGTTATCATTAACCTGAACTTTATTATTGTTTTGGTTGTTCTTGTACCCTCAGTTTTATTTTATTATTGTGACCACTGCCGTACTACAATGGAAATGTTTGATATAAGCAACTATTGTCTTGTAAGTGTTTACGCAGTTTCTGAGTAATTAAACAGCAGGAATACGAAATAAGCCTTTCATTTTATCACTGTGATCTGAATTAATCATGCAAACCTGTTCATTTTGAGAACAGAGTTTAGAAAGAGAAAAACGTTTGTGTTTTGTTATGAGCTGTGAGAATTTTATTGGTAAGGTGATCTACAGTGGACATTAATTAGCTGAATTGTTTGTTATTTTTTTATAGATCGCGCGGACATTAAAAGTCGGTTATCCGGTAAAAGGGCCTTCAGATGGAAAGAACCACACTGTTGGGTTGAATATGGTAAGAGTGATCTAACCGTAGTTGATTTTGTTTGATGCATTTGATATGTTGATTGTTTCGTTGCTTATTTGATCATCAATGAATTTTGATGCCACGGTAGTAAAGCAACATGCTGATCAGTCGTTTTATCCAGTAGTTTCCAATAATCACTTAATTTATGACAAGTTTTGTTGGGGAGCTTTGTTTCAAATGAGCCCAATTATATTCAGCATCACCAGGACTTATATCACAGTCTGATGGACTTTAGATTCTTAGTTATGTGTTCCAAAATTAAATAGGAAAATCTGGATTTGATTCATTGTGCAATCAATTCCAAATGGAGAAAGTTTCATTTTTCTACATGAATTGAGCACTAATGCTTTTATGGCTTCATTTATGATACCAAACTAATTTTCATACCATGTAGCATTAGTTATATTGCACTTTGTTCTGTGAAGCATCTATAATAGAATTTTAGTGAATAAATAAAATACCTACTCATTCAGTATTGTTTGCTATAATCTGTCAGTTTTGCCAACAATGGGTTTAACTATCCATGCTACCACTTTATTTTTGTGCATTCAAGTTTGTGAATCTTGGAATTTCATTATTGAGTTATATTGTTTCCTTATTACTGCATTTCCATCTTAGGTGTAATTATTAAAGTTTGCAATTGTAGGGATCCTCTGTCACAGAAAACATGTTCGGTAGCAAACAGTATTCAAGTGATAAATTTCACATCAAAGGAGAATTTGGGATGTGTAACGAGTGCACAAGTTCATGCTCATGTTGTATGGCGGCTTCACTGCTGAGAATGAAGGCCGATGTTGGGTTTTCATATGAAACCTCCAAGGGAAAAGTAGACGCTCAATACTCTCGCAGTGGTGCTGATATGCTATCCCCTGTAGATAGTTCATGCAATAGTAGAAATCTTTCCACCAGCGAGATTAGCAACCTTCTAAGTGCATGCTCAAGTCATGATTCATTCTCTGAAAATGAAGAAAGTAAAGACACTTTGAGAGCATCTGGTACTTCTGAACACTCTGAGATGCTAGTAGAAGTAAATGATCAGCAGACTGCTCGGAAAAATCCTGGTTTATCCAGAACAATACTATTTCGTGATAGCAATATGTTGTTTAAAAATCATCAGAAGCCAAAAGAACTGGAATGCATTGGTGATGATGCCTCTTGTATTAGTGGTTCAGAGTACACAGACAAGATTGCTGGTGATCATCATTGCTCTACAGATAGGAAGAATGTATCGTCTAGTTCAACCTCAATTGAAAGTTTTCCTGCAATTGAGAATGCTGCCAATGTTCTACCTACTCTCTGTTCTTTAGATAAAGGTCAATTTGATACAATAGACAATAATCAGCCTAGAACCTTAATCAAGTCTACCAAAGAATCTTCACCAACAATTGCAGTTTTTTCAAATAAATCTCACCAAATAGATATTTCTTCAGCTAGAGATTTCTCTGTTGGGGCCAACTCATCAAAGGTGAGTGATTGACATTCTCCCCTAAGCAGATAAATACACCTTTTGCAATTTAATTTTCCTAGATACTTATTATATTCCTCTCTTTCAGGGAAAACCATCTGAGTGCTCCGAAGAGCAAATAGAATCACCACTGATGAGAGCAGCAACCTTTTGGGTTGATGCTAAGATACATGAAGAAGAGAACCACACAGAACCTGTGAAATCTGAGATTGAAAGGAAAGATGGAGAAACTGCGGTTGCAAAATGTTCAGATCAGAAGGGAGATGAACCCGCTAAATGGCAACCCACTCCAAAGGCTCAGCCCATGTACTATGATGGTGAACTGGACCAAATGCAAGATGAGGTTTGTATTGTTTTCTTATGTATTGTGGCATATTTTGATCTTTATATACTGCGCTTATAATGTTTATTAATATGAAACTAGTAAAGCTGGCAAAATAGTAATTTCAACTTCCAAAAGCTCTGAACAATAATATTTTTTTTGTATGAAATATTTAAAAAATTATAAACTTAACATATCTATATACATGTGTGTGTGTGTGTGTGTGTGTGTTCTAGGTTCTATTGAAATCCTGCTTACCAACACAAACTTAAACTAGAAACTTTTCTGGCAAAGGGCAGTCCTCTGAGGTGTTGTGATAGATAAACTATGCTGAAGAAAATATATGAACTAAGGAAGTGGTCTTATGGTGTGTGCTATAATTTAGAAGCTGTAAACTAAAAGTAAAGATGTGCCTGTGGTGAAGATTGATGGTGGAGGAAATCGCCAAAGTGAACATGCATGACCATCAGAATAAGCTCAAGGATTGAAATGGAAGTGCTCTTAATGGAAGAAATAAAATTGATAGGCAATCTGTGTTTAGTGCAGATTACTAGAGGGGGAAAGAAGCTAATATTTAATAAATACATTGTGGAAATTGGTTGCTAATAGCATGTCTAAGTTTTAGAAGAAACGTGAGAATAAGGAATGAATACAACACGACAAGTTGGATGCAGAGTACCGAAGAAATTAAGAGAGGTTGTCTAAGATGGACTGCTCATGTGCAGTATAAATGAAAAAAACTCAAGGTAAAGATGACTGAGAGAATGTAAATTAGTGTGGCAGGCTTGGATATAATTGCTTATAAAATGACATGGAAAGGAAGTTGTTTGCTTGGCCTCAAACAATTGTGTCACAGGTTTATTGAGTTGAATGGAGTGAACCCATGCTTCTTGGTCTACATTGTGATCGACAATATGGAGTCCTGATTTTATTTTTTTTAATTATGGTACTAGAATGATATAAAGTATTGCTAGTTAACATACCACAACCATTACAAGACTCATTAAAGAGATTTCATTTGATGTGGAAAATGATAACTTTAATTAGACTTCTCATTTTGATTGCATGATGCAACCATTATGACCTCTGCCTATTTACCGTTCAACCTAGCTTGTGCAGTTGACCTACATTGATTCACTAAAGTGATGTGTGAATCCAGCAATATGAGTTCTGCTAAAAAAAGTTCTTTTTCCCTTCATTTCTATCTAAGCTTTTGTTCTCCATCCTATGGTTAGAGATCCTTGCGCATTCCTTTCTCTTTTGCTGTTTGAGAGAGAGAACCATATATTCTTGGTAATTTACTACAGTAATTTTCTTGCCAAATTCTTTCCTGAATTTGGCTAAATGTATATTATTTGAGATGTTTTTTCTAGTGTTTGTATCATGTTAGTTATTGGATAATTATGTAACAGAAACATCACATCAAACTTTTCAAGTCTTATTGTTTATTAGTTTAAGGGTTCTTGTCTTAACAATTTGCCTTTAGAAACATGAACTTCGCTTCACCATGTTGCATTTAATGAATGTTTCTATTTCTGTAGAGTCTCCTGATATACAACTTGTTCTAATTTCATTTCCTATACATCTTTACATTTTCTGCTATCATTTTGCTTAAACTTTAAAATCCTTTCAGGATTGACATGGCCTGGTTATTTTCTGATGTCTTTGCAAAGCAGGTAAAAGTCTGTGATATCTGTGGGGATGTGGGTCAGGAGGAGAAGCTTGCTACATGTAGCAAGTGCACTGATGGAGCAGAACACATGTAAGTACATAACTAATCTTCTGGATCCTTATCTTTTCATTTAGTCATTCTGTTGAAAATATGTGCTACTCATGTGGGTGCCATTTAAGCTATTCCCATTGACTTCTGTCAACCAGATATTGCATGCGTGAAAAGCTGGAGAAAGTTCCAGAAGGAAATTGGATGTGTGAAGAGTGCATGCTTGGGGATGAAAATGAAAGACAAGAGAAAACTAACTTTGAAAAAGAAGAGGCAGTTCAATTAGAGAAATCATCCCTGAATGAGATAATAAAGAACTCCAAAAATTCAGGTAGCTGTAAGATTAGTTTGGAATCAGATACTAAAGGGATAGGTGTTGATAAGAACAGAAGAAATGATGGTTCTTCCTGTCACTTCCCTGCTAAGAGACCAGCAGATGATTCAGAAACCTTCACTGCAAAAAGAATGGCCCTTGAAGAAGGTCACAACTCATCTATGCTATCCAAAGAATCCAATCCTTGCAGCAAAGTGGAAATTTGTCTGGGTTCTTCCCTTAAGAACATTGATACGAGGAAAATGAAACCAGCCTATGAAGGTATTTCTTCTGGAAATAATTCTTATTTTTCTCTGGAATTCTTACAATTAGCCACAGTTAAGCTAATAAATCACTTCATGTAAGCTTTTACAGTAACTTGAGGAAGAAGTTGTGTTAAGTCTCATTTGATTTCTTCTTTTAATTGTTTGGTTAAGTTTTAACCCTTGGTTGCAGGTTCTCTTTCAAAATCAAAATCACCTCTTGATATAAGTTCAAGAGTTGAACTCCAACAGTCAGAGGGTGCTGTCAGCAAGCAAAATTTGGGGATAGTAACTGCTACCTGTGGCAATAAGGAGGGGATTGGCAGGATACCATGCAAATCTGCATTCAAGAAAGCTAGCTCAGACCATGTAAATGCTGCTGACTCCAAGGTTAAAAAGATCTCTTCTAATTTGGCCCATGTAGAAGAAATGAAAAGACTAAGACATGTAAAAGGGCAAAATTTGGCTGTGTCAGAAACTATATTCCATAAATCATTGAAATCACCAGTTTCCGATAATCATGCTTCTGCATCAATGAGGGATAAAAGAACCCTGCATGGAGGGGAAGCTAGTGTACTGCCTTTGTCTCCGCCCAGACATCGTGATATGATGGCTGTCGAAGGTGGAAAATCAAGTAGCTCATTAACATCCATCAGGGATGTTGCTCATAGAAACTTTCCAAATGAAGAACAAAAAAGGCTTCTCAATGATGCATCAAATGACGAAGCATTTGCTGCCAGATCAAATCAAAATAATTTGATCTCCATCCACCCTTCTAACGAACCATCTTATCTGAAAGGATTGACCTGGTTACCTTCTGCAGTGGATGTTCCTTCTTGGGTTTCTGTTGTCCCACAGCTTGAGTGCATATGGCAGTATGTCATTTTTCCTCTTTTTACTATTACATTCTTTATTTTGTTGAAGACATGTTGTAAATTGGCACTGCTCTTCCTGGAATAGTCTCATCAATGGATTTTGGTCTGTTGTGCAGAGGTGGATTTGGAATTCAGAGAAGTGGAGTTTTTATTAGTTCTTGCGATGGCATTCAAGCACACGCATCAAGTTGTGCTTCACCTAAAGTTCATGAAATAGTGCGTAAATTTCCCCAGAAAATTCTAGTAGAGCAAGCATCCTGCTTGGTTATGTGGCCAACTCAGCCCTCAGAAACCGAGGCCAAAGAAGAAAACATTGCGCTCTACTTTTTTGCCAAGGATTTGGAGAGGTTTAAAGTTTTACTTTATGGAGATTATAATGCTTCCTTGCATGGTGGCTAACTTTTTGTACACTTCTCATGCAGCTATGAAAGCAACTACAAGATCTTGATGGAATACATGACCAAGAACAACTTGGGTCTAAAAGCAAACATTGATGGACTTGATCTGCTAATATTCTCATCTAAGCTGCTTCCAAAAAGATCCCAGCGTAAGCAATGACTTTTGAAAACTGGCTTAACCTGTCCGGATGAAATGAGGATTTGTTTATTGTGCTTCAGTTAAATTTTTAACTTGTTCCAGGTTGGAATCAAATGCTGTTTTTATGGGGTGTATTTAGAGGGAGGAAGATAAATTGCTCACAGGAAACTCCAAATCCTCAAAGGACTTGTTTTTCCGAGTTGAATGTGGCACATTCTGGTTTGCAGAACCTGCATTCCTCTGCGCATGCGAGTGGAATTATGTCTCCCTCAAATATTTTTAACAATATTCAACAAACATCAGATTCAGTTACCTCATTTGAAGTGCCTACTCTTGCTAGAATGGGCGAGAGCTGCGAAAACAAGGTTTCTTCTCCACTTCAGAAGCTTTTAGGTTTTCAAACTTCCGACAAATGGCTGAGCTATGATGGCACTTCAATGAAGAGTGAATGGTTGTCTAGGAATGTGAAAAACAATGACCCTTCTCAGGTAATGTGGTCTATCCCTAGTTGCTAGTCTGGTTATGTTTATCTTTCATTTTGTACATGAAATGCATCATGTGAAGTAAATGAGTTGCTGAAGAAAGGAAACACTCACAACCTCACCTTAGTTTGCTTACCCAGAAAAGCAAAAGAATGAAAAAGTAACAGAGCATAAATTCTGCTTTCCGTTTCCATCTTGGAAGCTTTGCTGTTCATGAATCAGACTGCAAGTTTTTCGCTCTTTGGTCTGATGGATTAGACTGATGTTCTTTTAGATAATTTTAGCACTCAGTCAGCATGTTTTTATTTATATTGTCTTCACAGTTTATTTCCAAAAGATGCTGTTTATAAGGCGTACCTTTTTCAGGATAACTTGATGCAGAACTGATTATAACTCGACTTGAATTTCCTTTTTTTCTTTTTCTAGAGTTCTAAAAGAATAGATTCTTTATGACTTTCCTTTGTCGATGCAACTCTAACAGATGTAATCCTCTCGCAAGACCACAATAATCTTCAAGCTTTCTCTTCATGTTTCTAAAGGGTTTTCCAGTTATTAATCTTATTGAACTTGAGATATGCCTACATATTGCTTTTTTGAAATGTGCACACAAGTTTAAATCTTAATGTTACTATCTTCGCCTAGTTATAACCCCTTTGCTGTAGTTTTACGGAGTTTACCATCTTAATCACACGAAACTGACAAAAGAACATGAATTATAATATTCGCTGTTTGTTGTACAGGGGCAAGAAAAGGAAAAAGAGAGAGGAAAACAAATTGATCCAAATAGAGAGAGTGATATAGAAATGGTAACTGTCGATGAAGAATGCGAGGGCAAAAGGATAAACAATTTCAATGGAATGTTGGAACATAGTTCTTCTGATGACTTCCAGTTTTTGGGTGATAGATTGCCATCTGGGGTAATTGATCTTAGTCCTGTTTATATTAAGTCCGTGCAGTGTCAAGTCGGTTCCATGAATGGTGGGAATCCTTCGGAATCTGGAAATCCAAACCTTGAACTTTCCTTGGGATTTGGGAAAAGATCATGCGATCATGGGGCTGTTTCCCTGCTTCCAAATGTCGGGCATAATATAATCAAAGACACTAAGGATTCCAATGAAGTAACGAGCAACAAAAATAACGAGTACTCGACGTCTCTTACTCTTTCTCTGGCCTCGGCTACCTCCATTGAAGAGAAAGAAGCGAAGCGGGTTATGGAACCAAAGCTTTTGTTTCCTACCATGGATGCTTCACTGTGTCTTTCACTGTAAATAATGTTTAGGTTTTCATAATGGATCGGCAAAATCAGTTCATGCGCCAGCATTATACTTTTTTGCACATATAGTGATGCTCTGCATGCAAGTCTCCCTTGCAAATGTAGAAGGAAAGATTAGGGGAATTAGTGTAGGATGTGTCCTTGTGGTTGCGAACGACATCTCTGTACTTGCAGCCAAAATGTCTTCTCTATATAAAAGCGTACTCTTTACAGCTCTTGCCGTTAAAGGATTTGACATATGATTTGCAGGACTTGTAGAAATATTATTTTTTTAAAAAAAAAATCTTTTTACCTATTAATATTCTATCAAGCAAAATAATTATTATTTAGAGTAAAAAATAAATAAATTACCGTAAAATATTTATAAAAAGCGAAGTTAATCTTTTTTGGGTTATTTGATTTCTTGAGAAGTTTTTAATTTACTTTCTGTATATGAAAAAATTATAAAATTATAAAAACTATACTTGATAGATATCTTTACAAGTTTGAAATTATAAATTTAGAATAATAGTTAGAGTTAAGAATATTAACATCTAGTTTAACATCTAACTTTAAAATTCAAAATTCTTCCACGAGATAGGCATAAAAAAAACTCAAAACAACCATCCAAAATCAACTAATATAATATTTGATTCAAGTGTCGCATCATACCGTTGACTTTTCCCATATTGAGACACTTATTGCTCTCATCAAATCATTATACATACACTAAAATTAATAAGACAAGTGATGGAGTTTGGGCCAAAAAAAAAAGAAGGGCAAGCCCGATTGTGAATTGGACCTAACAAGGTCCAAAGTTGTGTAAATAACTGGTTACCTTAGGTCCTTACGCATGAAGGTAAGGGAGTAGAGCAACTTTAGTCACAAGAAAGAAATGAAAAAGATGAGCGGTTAACAGGTGATTACTCATGATCTTTTCTAAATAGATCAAGGTTCAAGGAAGAAGAAGACAACAACAATTTAAATAGATCGAGTTTACATGATCTTCAAAACATATCTATCAATACATTTACATGATCTTCAAAACATGTCTATTAATATATTTGTAATCTAGTAGGTTGATAACTTATAAGTATATAGCTTGTACGTTGATAACCAATATGCTTGTAATTATAAGAATCCAGCAAAACCTAATATTTTATCTTATTAAGGATGTCCAGTTTGTTTTTGTAATGAAATTGGGGATCACTCCATATAAGTTCTTTGTTCTTGAATATTTAGTTATTTTTTAACTAAAAACATTAAAATATTTGATTACTCCTTAAGTTTATAATTTTCATTTGCCTATAAAAAGATTTCAAAGCTTTAAACTTGCATTTAAGCAACATTATTACAAGTTTGGGGTTAAAAAACTAGATTTGTAAGGACAATTCAGATTTTAAGTCTAAAATTTACATACAAGATTATAATATCTTCCATTTACATTAAACTTAGCACTCGATATTCAAATTTGAAGTCCTTTTAACTAACACAAACATAAAATAACTTTAAAACATATATCATAATTTATCTAATAAAAAAAATATCCATACTTCATTATTTAGATTTTGATATCTAAAAATATTTATTGGATAATTATTATTTATTATTAACATAAGATAAAGTAAAAATAATAAATAATCAAGATGCATACACATATTATATTAAATGATGAAATTGCAAATATTATACAAGTATATAATATTAATGTTGGAGTATGTAACTGTATATATTATATTAAATTTAAAAAATATAAATGTAGAACATTTATATTTATATGTACATAGTACTAACATCTGAATTTTGGATAGGGTTAAAATTGAGTTTCAAGTTAAATTTACCAATATTTTCGAACCTAATTAATTACATATTTAGATTAACATCCACTAACTTCGGATTAGCATCCATTAACTTTAGGTTAAATTGTCATCCCAAAAATGATGAATGGCTTAAAAATATGATGAACAATAACCGTGAGCATGTCACTCTCAAATAAAATCCAACTACGTATTTAGAGAATCAGCATTCCATTTTCTTCTGCCACCTCAAGGCGTACGTACCCATAACCAGCAAATCACCACGCCACACTTCAATTTAAAGTTCTCCTATCACCTTTTTATCAAGCAGAAACAGCAACAATAATATTTCACTTCATCCAGGGACGAGGCGGAGGAAGAAGAAGAAAAACAATATTACTCTTATCACACCAGCAGTAAAACCTCTAACCGAGCATGTAACGTTGACATTATTCCCGCCAATATTTGCGCGCGCCGATGCGCACGTGTAAGCCAGCAGAAAGAGCATAGGCGGTAGGATCCCACTCAATCCATTTAAAGACATCTGTTATATTCGTAACTTTTACAACTTAAGTAATACAGTAAAGTAACATAACTAGACAGCACGCTCAACTAAGACGTTCCTAAGGCAGCCATGGCTTGTTTAGATCAGATGACCGGGAAGGAATTAATTAAAACTAGTGAAGAAAAAAAAAATCTGAACTACACTAAAGAGGAGTTCATTCGTGCTTTGGATTCAATCACGGTGTTAATATTAGTGTCGACTTCAATATACTATGGAAGGAGGGCCATGTCAATGGTCCAAAGCGCGGTAGTGTTGAGTGAAGCATTTTCACCGTGGATTTTGGTCAGCCCATAGTTGGTACATCTGCATATTATGAATGGGTTGATTGGGGTTGCCATAGATTCCAGGATTCCGATTAACAGGACTGCCACCATTCTCATCAGAAGAATCGCTTGAGCCCCCTTGAGAGGTGGGGCTTGCTGTGGTTAATGGTGCACTAAAATTCAACATCTGGGGTGGGGGTGTTGAGGAAGGTCCAGATTTTGAAGCACTTGAATTCGATTTCTTTCCATCTGCAATGAAGCTGCCCACGATTACCTAGCAAGAAACAAGGAATACATGTGCATTATAGATCAAACAAACGATATTCCTGTCAGGCTTTTGCATATCAAAGATCCCCTGATGCTTCAATACCATCATAGTATTATAGCAACAAATAAAAGACAAGTGACGGCAGCATGAATACCTGTACAGGAGAAGCTGCTGTTAGCATCCCAGCAACTCCCCCACCCAAAACTCGACCATCTGACCCTGCCAGCGATACACTCAAACCACCAGATCTGCTCCGACTGCCATTACTTTCAGAAAGCAAGAAGGAGCCTGACAGAGAAATGATTTCAAATCGGCCCTGAAAAGAAAATGGTGTGAAGGAACAGAAAAGCCAGCATTACCACATGAGGGAAACATTAAATCCTGAAAAATAAGTAGAGGGGATGGACCTGCTGGTTAAAAGTTTAACACCCACCACCACCACATTCAGACAAAAATATATCTTGAAAGAAGATGATTTTACTGAAGATAACAGGAAAAAGACCAATAGTGAGGAAGGTACTAAGCAATCAATTAAATCTAAGACCTATAACCTCTAAACTTGTTGACTTGGTAATAGCTTTAATTTTAACACGGACCTAAAACCTCTAAACTTGTTGACTTGGTAATAGCTTTAATTTTAACACGGTTTATAACGTGAATAAAAGCTAGGGTTCTCAGACCCTAAGATTACAGACTTGAACTGCAAAGAAATTTAGAAAAAACTCTCTAGTGTTTTATTGAAAGTCTTAATAATAGTCTTTTTTTTTCAAAATAAATTAGGCATCCCTATTTATATTAGTTCTAAAATCTTTTATATGAAATAATTTCTAATTAAAACTTCATTAATAGAATCCATCTGGCATTAAAATTTCTAAATAATAAAATACTAATTAAATTAAAGTCTTAAGCTAAATAGAAAAAAGAATTCAAATAAAACAAGGTAAATAAAAACAATATCGCATAGTAACTTTTAAGCATTATTTAAATGTCTTCTTGATCTCCGATCATCATGAAATTTATACCCAATAGAAAACATGGCCTTTAGAGTCTTCTGTTAAAATTTCAATTTGGTCCAATGGTTGAATTAAAATTTATGTTTGATTTACAGAACTGCATCTTAAACTCTTCTTAAAATCCTCAAAACCTACAAATCTTAAACATTAATGAAATAATGCAATAAACATTATTGTGCCAAGAATATGGAAGAAATCCCCCCCAGTCAATCCCCTCTACTACCAAAAAAATCATCATTGAGTTATCTATCAAGAATTGAACTTTTCCACTCCAAATGAACAAATATTTCAAATATAGTAGTGTAGCCAACATATTCATGACGTAGCATGTCCTTGACCAATGAACCTTAAAATTTAATTTATAAAGTGTGCATGCTAAAAAAAACTTCATAGTTAATATTATATTGTTTGTTCCTATGAAGTCCACTTGTAGTTCCTTCACACATTCTTTTTCTTCAAGTTTGACCACATCATCATCTATGACTTCCAATACTTCAACCTTTGAATATAAAGAAACTTCAAGATCATCTTTGAAAATACTTTTAGGAGAGTTTTCAGAACTTCCCATGTCCTTGTTTGCAATATCTTCATCCATGATTGAAAGATTATTGGTTACCATTGGCTTCTTCAACCTAAGGTCAAAAGACTGAAACTGCTTGTCAGCACCCTCTTTGATCACATTATCTTCAACATAATTAGATAACTTTGAAATTTTGCTTTCATCAAACTCCTCCACATTTTTCTCTTTGCCTTTTGAGATGGTTGAATACAAGAAAAATAATAATATTCTATTTGTGTATCTACCCAAAATAAAACCTCTTCATAATTATCTTATATAAGCTCCAAAAGTAATAATTGTCCCAAATCTTGCCACGGTGAAATTAAAGGCATACCAAGACAAGTTTTAAAGTGTAGAAATTCAAACCACTATTTTCTAGCATTATAATAAAGTTTGTGTACAATAAGTCCTACTTTTTGATGAAAATAAGCCTTGTTGAAATTAAATTAAGCTTCCAACTTTACCAACCACTTAATAAATCTTTTCTTTGAAAATCTCCCATCATAGAATAGAATCTCATCAAATTCAAGAATAGATCGGCTTGGCTCAACATAAATCTTCAGGCAAGTTCCTCTTCTCTTCACAATCCTTGTTTGCGTTACCCATTAATAGAGCTAGATCTTCTATGATTTGCTCCAAACAATCAAACATTTGTTCCCGAGAGTATGGAAGAATTTTCCTCATTGTCAAATTTCTATCTAATTTCCATGAAGAATGCAATTAAGTGGTTTAAATTCAATAGATATTGAAAGAAGCTCATCAATATTTTGTATATCAATTAGCA